AAACTAACTATTGAGGATGCTATAATTAACAATGGTGCTTTTTTTTTTTCTTTTTTCTTTTTTTTTTTGTACAATAAGAAATAGCATATATGGTTGGTTGGATATGCTACTAGAAAATTCATTGTTTAGACTTGTGTTGAGAGAGACGTGAAGGGTCAAGTTTAACGTTTTGTTATTGGAAGGTGCCACTAACTAGTATATAAGTATGAGAAAATAAAGGTTATTGTGTCTTTGCAAGTAGGTATAATTTTTGGCATGCTAACCAAAAGATTCCAATTTTTGGCATGCATATTAACTAGGATTGGTCGGATAATTGATTTTGTAATTAAAAGATTCCAAATTAAACTCGCTATGAGAAATGTCTATTGACCTCTCTCTCTCTCTCTCTTTTTTTTTTTAACCGATCAATTATAAACAACCTAAATTGGTTAACCATCTTGTGATTCAATAAGTTTCACCTAGAACCAAGGTTGCAAAATACGTTAGGTGCCCCCTAGGCGCCCGATTTTTTATTTTTTATTTAAAAAAGATTATTAAAAATTGTAAAAATTCACTAATAAAATATAAGGTTCCTCTAGTTTTTTCTTACAAACTATTTACGTAAGTTGTTATAAAATGGTTTAAAATATTGTTGAAATCATCTAAATACATTTAAAAAAAAAAAACTAAAATTAAGACCAAAAAAAAACTTTTTTTTTTGAGAAATTAGGGGCCAAACCGCCTAAGACAGTAGCAGCAGCGCAATAAATAAGTGCGGAGCTTTTCACTATAACTTTAACTTTTACATAGCTCAAATTTACAAAACACAATGTCACGTTTCAACTCTCACGGAAGAACTCCATCTGCGAGCCGCCCCCGCCCTTCCTCTGTTTCGTTCACCTCTCTTCCCTCTGCCTCGCATCGTAGTCTTGCACTCCAAGCTAATGCCGGTGGAACGATTCGGCGGCAGACCTCTCGTCCCCGCCTGAAATGGCGTCGCCAACATTAGCCTCCTATCGTATGTTTAGCGCGGAAGCCTCAACCTACAGGGCAGAGGAGTTTGTTTCACATAGATCACAAAAAAATACACGATTTAAAAGAAAAAATTTGTCCAAAACATATAACTGAGTCAAAAATTATGTCTTGCCAAACTTTCTACTTTATATATATATATATATATATATATATATATCGCCGGTTCAGCCGGCTAGGCGGTCTAGGCCGCCCAGCCGCGGAGGAGGCCGATTCCGGCCTTCCTCACCGCGGCCGGACAACGCCTAGGCGCGATTTTTGCAACACTATCTAGAACACACTTTCATATAGTAGTTGTGTACTTTACAGTAAATCGAATAGCATTCATTTACTTCTTCCATTGGATCTATCTTACACATCATTAATCACAACACTAGTTGTGACCTTAGAAACCTCACATGCATGTTATAGAAGTTGGCCAATGCTGAAATTTAGAAAAATATTGGAGGGCACAAAATCCACAAATCCAAGGCTTTTGCCTTCAAAGTATCCACAATGATTGATTTAAACAAATGATAACACTTTTTTTGGGTAACGAGAAAACCCCTCGTTTGGTTGATCATAAATGATAACACTCAACTTCTAACACCCATCACCATTCTGCCATTTAAGGGGCACACAAAAAAAAAATGAGAAACGTGTGGATTTTTTTTTTTTTTTTTTAAATTGAAATAGGTCATCAAACTTTACTTGAAAAGTTAATTAAGTCTCTAAACATTTTAAATTTACAATTAAATTCATCAATATTATATTTTGGTGCCATAAAACCCAAAAAGTAGTTAGTGACATGTTATGACATGTCACTAGAGTTCTGGCGACACTCCCATGCATATTCCAACAAAAAATAAAAAGATCGGTGACTGGCGAACTATCGCCGATTGTGGACAAGGAAGGCGACCTTGGTCACCTTCTCAGATCACCGGAGAAGGAGACTCTGGGTCGCCTTCTCACCAACTAGTTTCTGGGCTTCATTCCACCAAAATACAATGTTGATGGGTTTAATTTAAAATGTTTAGGGGCTTAATTGACTTTTTAAGTAATGTTCGAAGAGCTATTTGGCCATTTGCCCAAAAAATAATTTATAATCTTAAAAAATATAAGTGTATTTAATATTTATAAATATCTCAAGTTTAGCGCCTTGTACTAAGATAATATCTATGTGGCTTTTCTTGAGAGAATGTCACAAGATTGAACTCTGGTGATCGAGTTTGACTCTTTGAATCTATATTACCTTTTAATAGAGTGAATAGTACTAAAACAAAATATTTCGAGTTTGGCGCGCAACTCAAAGCTTATTTTTCGGTGGGTGTGAAAAAAAAATATGGATAGGCATGAAAGCAATAGGGATTTTGAGTAGCCTCCAGCTCACAATGAGCCAGCAATCCTCCATGAGTCAGCAGTTTGCTTACGTGGCATGACTGTGTTTAACCTGGAGAGATAGATATGGCTGGGTGCACTTTTGGCCTAGACTCCAAACCTTAGCAATAAAGGAATTTAATTGTCTGGAAATGAATTTTTTTTTTCTTTTTTCATCCGGGTTGAATTTTTATTTTTTATTATTTTTTTTTTTAAAATCACAGTGACTCATGAGACCAAATCAAGGTCCACATAGTAGGTCGTGTGACAAAGTTAAGATCCATCATTTCTAGAGCTGTCAAAATGGACTTAGCCTACCGGGCTAGTCCGTCCCGCACCATCAAAAGGGCGGGGCGGGCTCTAATATTTTGAGTATGTTTTATAGCAGGCTTTTTAGCCCACCCTCGCCTAACCAGAAGGCCCTGCCCAGACCTAAGGGGTCCCGGAGGGGGATAGTTATGTTGTGCATCCGTATGCACCACGCATGGTGCATACAGATGCAAAAACAACTTCGTTTTGACGTCTAACTTTAAAAAAAAAAAAATCAGAATTGTATAACTACACATCCATAATTTCATCACATCCATAATTTCATAACTATACATCCAGAATTACATAACTACACATCCATAATTTCATAACTATAAATCCAGAATTGCATAACTACACATCCATAACTTCATAACTATAAATCCAGAATTGCATAACTACACATCAATAACTTCATAACTACACATCCAGAATTGCATAACTATACATCCAGAATGAATGAACTAAAATATGAATAACATAATGTTGTTGCTGGGAATCGAAACTGATTTTATTTTTTTTTTAAGTAGGACGTGCGTTTTGATGCAAAACGACGTCGTTTTTGCATCCGTATGTACCATGCACGGTGCATACGGATGCACAACATAATTTTCCCCCGAAGGGGGAGCTGCCTGCCCTTAGGCTAGCATTTTGATGGGCTTTTTGGCCCGCATTGACAGCTCTAATCATTTCGGGTCCAGAGATGAGTTTTGGGACAGGAATGGCTAGCGGTCCAGGGCCGGGCCCCACGTATCCTCCTCGGAACATCTTTCTCTTGTAACTCCTGAATCATGGGCTCTTGAATCCCGAGTGATGGGCTCCTTAACGCTAAACCTTCATTCTTGATCCATTTCTAATATTTCCACCAGATATACATATATATAGAGGATCATATGAGAACACTTGCTTAGGTGAGAACGTGAGAACAAATTGTGTGCATCTATCTAATATTTTTAATGGTCTAGATTAGATTAAGTGTGTGCGAACGCGATTAAGTGTGTTTTCATACATTTAATTCGCGTTCGCACACACTTAATCTAATCTAGACAATTAAAAAATATTAAATAGATGTATTCTCACGTTCCCATTGGAACCCATATATATATATATATATATATATATATATATATATATATATATATATATATATAACCAGTCAAACTCAGTAAATACATAATTATTTTCACATACATTATACCAAAACCCACAATCTTTGATGAACCGATTGTGTTGTCCAGGTTGGGCGAGCAGTGCGGGTGGTGGCCAGTTGTGAAGTGGAGAAGATCGAGATTAATAAGGTGGTCAGAATTTTGAGTGAAGTGTCAAAACAAGAATATGCCACGACTCATCTCTCCGACATCTTTCACACCTACCAAACTGCATTTATCATCCAACTCCTCCTTAGCTGGCAAATATGTATTATCCACCATTTTATATTATTTTTATTCAGTAAATCTTTGCATGCCTTGCATGCAAACTCGTGCCAGGTGAAAACGTATGAATTTATGCACTTTACGATTATATTTTACACATTAAAAAGTATGTTTTAGAGTTTTTATTGTGTATTTTTATAAATTTTGAAGTTTAATTTTGAATTGCACTCATAAACATTATAAAATGTACTTTGTAACTTTGTTGTGTAGTGTATTTTAAAGTTTGAACGTTCGCACTTCATCTCATCCTTATATATATATATATGTACCACTTCAAAGTAAATAGTTTCCCTAGGTACAAAAGAGGCATGGTGTCAATTGGCTTACAAATTAAGCAATACAAATAGCTATTCACATAATGACTTATCAAAGTGTAGAATAAACCTATATTCCCATGAATATTATTTCATTCTTGACTTATACCGTGAAATATAGAAATATGATAACTAGTGTAGTATATCTCAACAATTATACTGAATTTATAACTAAAAGGTTGATCAGGACTAGTATTTTTTATATCAAATACAATTATGCATGACATGTATAATTGTAATGTGAATAATTGTAAGGATAGATTTATAAGAAACCTAATACGACCTAAATGACATACATGGATCTAATTGATACCAAAAACACCATGAACAAATAACACAATAGAAAATCCTTTAATAATTTATAAGTTTCCGTTATGAAAAGGGTGACCGAGTGAGTATAACATTATTCTCGTACAATTCTTATTAACACCTTATCGTCGAGTCCGGCTAAAGGTTTCTTAGAAAAAGTGTTCCCTAATTAAGATGCAAGTTTAAAGGGTGATATAATTTGTAAAAAAAAGTAGGGGCAGTCTTGGTAGCAGCACGAGTATAAATTGTAAGCAAGGGGAGGGGGCTCTCTTTCAATTCACCAGTGAAAACCCAGAGTTCCAAGAATATTATAAGCAGAAAGAAACATAGTTGGAAAACAATGTCTTCTCCACGCTTGCTGCTCCTGCTAGCCTTCTTCCTCTTCTGCCTTTCTCACCAGGTAATGTTACATATATATATATATACTAACATTATCATCAGTAGAAATGAAATACTATGTTGGGTTTGTTTGACTAACCTAAGAGTTGGTTGGCCGTTGGCCGGCGGCGCAGGTTTTGTCGGACAATGTTGAACTTGAAGACCACCAAACTCATCTGCAGGTCTGTCTTCTTCTTCTTCTTCTTGTGTTCAGTTCCGATTGATCTCCTTTGTTGTTGAGCTGAACCAGTTGATGGGTCACTCATTCTCTTAACCTTCAATCTTACTTTCAGGTGGTCAAAGGTCCCAACAGAAGGCTCTTGCCTTTCGTAGGTACATTTTCTGTTCTCGGATCTCTCTTGTAGAATGAGACTAATCTCATTCAAGATTTTTTCAAGGGGGTTATTCTATTCATATGGAAACTTATTGTGTACTTGGTACATCTCACATCTAAGAGTGTTGTTCCTTACACATAAGAACTTATTGTGTATTTTATACATTGGGTGTTAGCGGATCGGATTTGACTAGCTGAATAGTTAATAGTATTAGTTAGTTGTAAAGAAATGTTTTGTAAATTAATTTTAGTTAAGGATAGATTACATGCAAAATGACATTTAAAGGTATAATTTATTTTTTTTATCAAAAAATTGTTTTTTGAGTAATTTTTTAAATTTTACTCCGTAACATTTTGGAGCAATAAACTATTACAAAAAGCTTATTAACCAAATACTTATATTGACTATTTATTCAAATCAAATAGCTGATAGTAACCAAACAAGTCAAAATTAGTTGATAAACTAACTATGTTACCAGAATTAATCCACTTAAGTTTCGGTTGGGTTCTATTTGACCTATACATATAAAAACTTACGATTTATTATTGCAGACTGTGGGGGATTGTGCAAGAACAGGTGCAGTGTGCATTCAAGGCCAAATGTATGCAACAGAGCTTGTGGAACTTGTTGTGTGAGATGCAAATGTGTTCCACCTGGCACTGCTGGCAACAGAGAAGCCTGTGGCAAGTGCTACACTGACATGACCACCCATGGCAACAGGCTCAAATGCCCTTAGAATTTTACTCTCCCAACTTTGCCCCTGTCCTACAACCAACCTCACCTCCTACCCTTTGCTATTAGGACTCTACTACTAGTGTCCCTTAAATAAAGCAAATTACTTTCCAAGTCTATGTGTGCATATATATATGCTCTAAGTTTTGTTGAGCTCATAATATTCTAATATAAATAAATGTGTAGTTCAACTGATTAATATATATAGAATATAAATGTATAGTTCAACTATCAGTTTAGACATTTACATAATATATTATTTGGCAAATTCATATACTTGATTTAAGACATGACTATACAACATGAAATCATATACGAATATAGATTTAGTTTTATTATAATCCAAGTGTTTAATAAGTTGACACAATTTTTTTTGATGGCCATGGCTATCTGGAGACGGTCCCGAACAGCCATGTTCGTCCATGGTCGTTTGGAACGAGGGCGGCAGCCACCGCCCACGTTCCAGACCATTTGAGGGCCAAATTTAGATCTTATGTCTAACAGTTGTGGCTATCTGTGAAGGAGAGACCTCATTCTTGACAGCTGTGAAGGAGGTAAGCACGTAGTCACGGATTGTCCTCGCCGGATAGTCGGTGGCTAAAACTATTTTTTTTTTTTAATAATTTAATAAATAAATTTAAAAAAAATTTAAAAAATATTTTAAAAGTGACACGTGTCAAACTTGGAAAGAATTAACCAGCTATACAGGTTAATTTGGATTCAATTGAACAATTGTACAGATTTAGGTGATCTAATTGAAGGTTTTTTTACTTAGAGGACCTAATTGAGTCCTCTCCGAATGACTTAAGGATGACCCTTTTTTCCAATAAATTTAGTCTAAATCACACTAAATAAACACAACAAATCTTATTTAGTAAAAAGAACATTTATTGTTAGGTTATTATCCTTTTTACAATAACAAGGAAATTTTTACAACATAAAATACAGTTTCATAGTCAAAAATTACTTTGAATAAAAAAAAATTACAAATATTTTTTTTGATTAATTTCCTGTCGATTGAAAATGTCACAAATGAAAGGCTTGGAAAAGAGCAGTGTTAGAGCCTTACTTGCACTCCCAGAAGAGAATCATCAAATGGTTGAGATCTTTTCTTCAACTCTGCTCCAAGAAACCTCCATCTCTTCTTCTTCTTCACAGCCCAGCTTGTCAAAAGAGCCTGTAATTCTCTGTACCTCTAGCAATGGCGAAGAATTCCCTCAACGAGGAAATACAGATTTATCCACATATTCCGATGTATATATATATCATGCAAGAACATTCTCTTCAACGGATTCTACATCATTCATGTTGCTAAACCCTGTCATAGTATGGTAGTTTAGGAAGAAAGTGTAAACGCATTTATCATAATCCGGAAACATGTTGGGGATGCTGTTGTTAAGGAGTGTATAATAAGACGCATTGTTAGCCATTACCTCTCTTCTTAAGCTTGTTTCGGAAGCTCCTCTTTCGACTAAATGCCTTCTCCTGCAGCCATATCAGAGGAGCGGGGAAGAATCAGTTACATATTAAAGATTTCTTGAATCTATTATATTTGACCGCTATAAAGTAGAGATGATCTGAAAAACTCTAATCAGGAACAAACGAAGAAACAACTGGTAAAACTACACTCTAGGCATCATCGCGGACAAGCTAGAGAAGTGTGGCACATAAACACTAGAATAAAGAACAAGTATCATCGTTTTTAATGGAAGGATAAAACAAGATAAGAAGGTTCAGAAACTGAAACAATCCAAAGGTGCTGGAACTTACCACAGGTTGACCCCGCTTTTCAGCTAGACGAACGGTGGCAACGAGTTCCCTGTTCGATTCATTATACAGACTTGTAACAAGCCCGGGTTGACCTGCTCTTGCTGTACGGCCAACCCTATGCAAAAAATCTACAGCAGATGTAGCGAATTCCGCCTATGATGAAATAAAAGATGACATAATTAGATTTCGCAATATCACACTGCACTTTGTGTGATGGCACCGATACATAAGAAATTATTAATACAGCGAACCTGAATAACATGTGAAACATTTGGGACGTCAAGACCACGTGCAGCAGCATCGGTGCACACAAAAACGCCCCCTTTCTGCTGGAAACTGATTAAATTTTTTGTTCGCTCCTCCAACGAGCTATTACTGTGGTAGCAGAAACATTCAATCCCAGATCCCGTCAAGACTTTAGCAACAGCTTCCACTGCATCAACAGTGTTTGCAAACACCATTGTTCGAAGTATTCCAGACCCATCATTTAATACGGACTGGATTCCATTTCTCACAGCGCTTATTAAAGCGTCCACCTGAGTGTCAATTGTAACTTCAATCCACTTCTGTTCCAACCTGTGGCACAGAAGCCATGTTAGAAACCGTTGTAATAATATTCAGCATATACTTCTGCTCATGCTGTAAAATAAATAAATAAATAAATAAAACAAGCACCTTGGGTTGTGGCAATGGAGGTAGTTTCCACTGACCCAGCTTGCGTCAGGAAACATCCGTTTTAACACTGCTCCAGCAGTTTTCTTTCCATTCACAGGAAGCGTGGCAGCAACAAAAATGTACTGCTTACTTCGCTTGTATGTTTTTCTCACTCTTCGCCAATCTGTTCTCTTTGCAACCTTGCTATCAACTTCTGAGTCCATTACACGAGCATCATCTTCAGTATCATCTACTTCTTTGCTGAAATCTGATATTAGGTCCCTGTTGTCCTCCTGATCAGAACCGAGAGGAGAATCAGGAATTGAGCCCGTCACTATCTCAGCGTCAGAATTTCTTAAGCGGGACAACTGCTTTTCATCAAAACGAAGCATATTCAAGAGCCGAATAACTTGGTTTTGGAAACTGCCACAAAGGAGCATGTCTGCCTCATCAAAAACCTGGTGTTTATTTATAATAAAATAATCGTTAATATTCAGGCCAGATGAATTTGAAATAAGCCGAATGGGCGAGTGATGATGCATTTCTATTGGAAGAAAAATTTACCACATGTTTCACACAACGTATAAAGTCAGATCGGCCATGATTCTCAGCTTCAATTGTATAAAGATAATTCAAAATTGCAGCTGGTGTTGACACCATTATATCTGGTTCTTTCACTGGCCAAGTCTGCGGGGTAAAGTTTAGTCCTTAAGGAACAGTTCATATGGTAAAAATAGATGCCAATCAAAAGAGCAAGATGCTATGCAAGAATGACTAGCCATTTAGTTCACCACATGACCGTTAAGGATGATTTTGATAATATCAGTACCTGTCGGCCACAAACAGCAGCAACCCTGAGGACAGGTTCGCCACCATCATTACGAAGACAATTAGCCATTCGAACCACTTGCTCACACAGCATGACATTTGGACAGAGAACAAGAGAAAGTTGACGGGACTTGTTTGCTTCCCGGCCAACACCACCTTCCCCCGATATACCAGAACTTTGGCATACCTTATCAATCAAGGGAACCAGGTACCCATGGGTTTTGCCACTACCAGTCTCTGCAGCAACCACCACATCAGCTCCAGAAAGTATACTCGGTATGCAAGCAGCCTGTAATCAGACTTGCAATATGAAATACTTGTTTTATGCAAGAGATAGGATTCTAAGGTAATAAAATGAAGTCCAAGCATGATCCAAATAGGTAGAATAAATCTAGAATTGAACATTGACATAGAACTGAACAGCAGGGTCTAAATAAAAATTCTCACTTGCATCACACAAGAATTTCATGTAGTACCTACACTACTGATTTAAACAATAGGATGGATAAAGATGGTACAATATACCAATACAAATACAAACATCATACATTAAGTTTAATTTGTTTGCAACTAATACAAAAATTCAATCTCTAATCATCACATCAATCACAGCAATCCTTTAGCTGATATCAGGCATTACAAGTTACACAACCTAAAATACGAAAGCAATTAAGAAATGCGGATTTTCATATGCCTTTTGCGCAAAATAAGTTGAGCACCTGAACCAGAGAGGGCCTATGAAGGTCAATACTTGAGAGAGATCGAGACAGGCGTTCCGAAACGCCGAGCGACGTCCAGGAAACGTTTTCCTCGGCGAAGAAGGTGTCGCCGCCATTCTTCTCGGCGGCGACGGCGGCTGTTCCAAATGCTCTTATCCTAAACAACTGCAGCTTTGCGATGCTACAGGTTCTGAATGATAGAAGCTTAGGCGTAGAAGGCGACAGCGTGCATAGCCTAAGCACCGAAAAGGAGTGCTGGAAACTCATCGTTAGCTCAGAAGCTTTCCGCCGGAAAGCTATGGCGATAAAACGAGCTGGGGTTTTAATTGGGGTTTTACGAGGAAATTGCACCCTAGTCCTCAAGGTTTACCGCTTATTTCACTTTAGTCATTAATCTTTATGAATTGTTTACCAAATTGAAAATTTGGAGGATTTAAAATAAAAAAAAATTTAAAATAAAAAAAATTTTAAAAAAAAAAAAACAAAGTTTGGTTCTTATATTTTGTTTAGCTGACGAGGAAAATACTTAGGCCTTGTTTAATAACATATAGTTAGCTTATCAGTCAATTTTAGTTTATTTGATCATTGTTAGTCGTTTGACTTGGTTAAACAATTAATATGAGTGTGATTAATTAACTTTTTGTAACAAGTTATTGCTCTAAAATGCTAAAATTAAAAAGCTACTCAAAATAGTTTTTTTATCAACTTTTTGGAAAAGTCATTTGGCATGTAACCATTTAATAGCTAACGGTTAATTTACCAAACAATTTTCTACACCCAGCTAATGATACAAACTAGTCAAATCTACAAACCCAATCAGTTAACAGTTATTTACCAAACACCCCTTCAGTCATAGAAATCTTGTGGCTATTATTTATCTATTTTTCCTAAAAACAGTTGCAAAAATTTATTATAAATAAAGAGGTTTCTAAGTGTTTGCAAAAGCATACAAATCTCTTATTTCTCTCTAAAATATCCTAAAATGGTATAAACTGCAGAATCGTTTCAATGGTATCTTAGTATCTGCATGAATACAGTTTTATTAGCGAGTTTCGTTCTTAAATAGGTCCTTAAGCATTTTTGGTATTATTTGTCTAATTTTTTATTACATGATATTATATTATGCTGAAAAGGCTTTATTTTTAGAAAAGCTTAAGAATATATGGAAAAAAATTATCTGTTTAAATAAAATAATTTTTAATTTTTGAAAAAGAGAGCTTATGGTGAAAGCCTCTCCAACCTTTTGGGGTGATTTGAGTGACAACCTAGAAGAACTACTATAAGAGGGAAGATTTGATTGATTTTAGGATGATGAGAATGTTAATGACTAGGGTATTAAGTGTTCAATCTTGTAAATAGTATAAAATTTGAGGTATAAAATGTAATTTTCTCTCTAATAATTTGAATAAAAAATATAATATATCTTCTTGATTTTGCCTACCACTTTGTCTAATTTGCCTTCCACTTACCATCCACTTGCATAATAATTTGCCTTCAAGTATTATAACATAGTATTGGGGAAAATGAGATATCATTGCCTTCCATGCAACTTTTGATTGTTATGGCATCTATATATGGCTTTGTAGTCTTTATGAAGATCATAGCCGTTTGAATAATCTTTCAACCAGTTCAAGAATCTCTCAATTTGGATATTCCAACAGCGAAATATTTTAAATTGAATGGTAAATACAATTTTATGTTGTTTTGCTCCAATTCATCCTCCCATAATTATATCATTGCAACTTTAATTGAGTTGCTTATATATACTAGGTTGTTGTATGCACTTCGGGCCTTCACCAAGCCTCTACTCAGATTAAACTGATAAATCAATTTGGGTTGATTGGTCGAGCCTAAGTATCTCATCCAACAATATAAATAAACAACAATAATATATTGAAACAAATATTGAAAAGGGAGCGTAGGAGAATTATGTCGTGCAACTGTGTGGGTTGCAAAACGACGTCGTTTTGAATAAAAACAACGCCGCCAATTGCTGTTAACAGCGTTATGCTGTGCATAATTTGGACTATATATCCAAAATTAATGAACTATATATCCAGAATTAATAAATTATATATCCAAAATTAATAAACTATATATCCACACCGGTTACTGGTACTCTGTTTTGGCTTATGGCAGTTTGTTGTGTCTGTGTATTCCGAATGAATGAACTACTCCATTTTGGCTTATGACAGTTCGTTGCGTCTGTGTATTCAGAATGAATGAACTATATATTCAGAATTAACGATCTATATATCCATTCGATGTGGACGAAGGAAGCCTCAAGACTCCTCTATTTGTAACAATTTTGTAACAATTGAGATTTTAGTGGTTTGGAGTCAAACCGCTAGTTACCAAAAGTTGTAAAGTTGTAAAATGTAAATCTATATCTAAAATATAATTTTATCACCAAATTATAGGAATTATTTTTCAAAAATTATATGGAACGGAAAATGCTTATGAAATTATTGTGGGTGAAATTCCAAATATAGGAGGCCTTAGGCCCCTAATTGAAATTAGCAAAAGAATCCCCTTGTGGATATTTTCCACAAAATCTTGTGAGAAGATAAGCGAAGAACAGTCATTCTGCATATTGAAATGGCTTCGGCTACATCAATCGTCGTCTCGCCATTACTACTCCCATCTTCTCCTTCTTCAGTGAATAGGGTTTCAGTTTCTTCACCGCCATTACTACTCCCATCTTCTTCTTCTTCAATGAATAGGATTTCAGCTTCTTCTTCGTTCAAATGCGAGCTTCGTCGGAAACAGATAAACGTCTCGCCGTCGCGGAGCAGAAATCAGAAACCCTACAGGCTCGTTTGCAGGGCGTCGGAGTACAAATTCCCCGACCCGATTCCTGAGTTCGCTGAAGCTGTTAGTCGGAATACAAACGTTTTCAGTTTTCTGGATTCAAATCCCCCAATTTTTTTGGTGATTTGGTGATTTGGTGGCTTGCAGGAAACAGAGAAGTTCAGGAATCATCTCCTTGAGAGGCTGCCTAGGAAGAAGGACATCTATGGAGATTCAATAGAAGAAATTGTTGGTATCTGCTCTGAGGTATCACTTCTCTTAGCCATGTTTCCATTCTTCATTTCTTTGCCTTAGTGCCACTAGAATTGGGTTCCTCAATCTCCTTTCCAGCCCAAAGAATTAATGCCCCCACCACCACCACCACCACCAAAGACTGTGACCACCTATTTAGAATGGTTACAAAGGCGTCATCACATTATAGTTGACTTTTCTTTTAGTAATACTGACAATGTAATATCTGTCTAAACATACCTTCAAATTTATGATCTCTCTCATTTGGGAGTGTTACAGAAAAGTCATTGAGCTACAAGCTACTTGGCTATTAACTAGACTTGTTATAGGCAATGTTGAAAAAATCGGCACCCTCTAGGCGCCTGGGAACCACCTAGGAGGCTGACCGCCTAGCTAATCGATGGCTAGGCGCGATTTTTGCAACACTAGTTATAGGTCTATTTTCACTTTCGTTTGGCATATCAACTACTCGACACCTAAAACTTGAAAGATTAAACGTCAATTGTCATCACCGATATAAAGTTTGAATCTCAAATTTAAGAATTCATTACCGTTCCTATCCTAGAGAGTGGTGGAGGAGGTAGTGCCCACAACAAGGCCAAATCCATGCATTGCGACTGCTAGCAAAGCAAAACTTATGAATTTATTTTGGTTATACCTACCTTAATTTTGTTTGATGCATCTTATGTTTACCCAAGTGGGTATGCACCATCTCCAAACTTTTTTCATATCCTAGAAAATAAAGGTATTGGGTGGGTCATCTAGGATGCTGAACTGATCAATGTCATGGCACAAAATGAATAGCTTCTTAATCTCTCTACTTCATTGCTAAGATACACTCATGCTGGTGTACCGATTTGAACAGATCCTAAACAACTTCTTGCACACAGAGTATGGTGGTCCTGGAACGCTCTTGGTCAACCCGTTCATTGACATGGCTGATACCATAACCGACAGGGATTTGCCCGGGGCACCACAAGCTGCACGCACAGCAGTTAAATGGGCACAGAAGCATGTCGATAATGATTGGAAAGCATGGAATAGCAGCAAGAGCAGTTGATTCCCACTATCATAATCACCCTTATTATGTTTTGTTGTTGCAAAGCTGCTGTTAGAGATTTTCTGCCAACCATTATTTGGAGAAATAGGAGTTTTGTAGGTTTTAGAACAGTATACCCTGTAAGCACTTTTGCTCTTTATTAGCCATCTCATGTCATTTGGCTAACATGTTAGGGTGGAGTATTAGAAATTTTATAAATCTGAGTGAAAGTTCAATATCTACACATTGATTAACAGGGCAACATTCCATTGCATAACCTCTCAATAGACCAAATGCTTTTTTTTTTTTTTTCTACGACATCTGGTATTCTAGTATCCCTTATCATTACGAGACTAATCTAGGTCAGAAAATGCCATGCTTCTATTTTGAATAATAATGATGTGGCCAAAATGTGGAAGCAAGGCTAACAAGATGCCTTCTAGGCTGTGGATGAACTATGAGGCTTTCCAATTGCAAAACCGGGAGCTAATTTAACAGTTTTAGGCAAAAAAAACAAACCTCACAATCTTGTGCTATTCAGTATTCACGAATCTGATTGGCGACGTTTCAGCAATTCTTCTGCATCAATGAAACGCTCTAGCAACTCTTTCTCCTGCAGGACCAAGCAGTCATCATCTTTGCCAAACCAGTGATAGCGTCTCTTTGCAATATAGTCATAGACAGCATCCCTTAAAGGTGGGGGGATAATCATGAAAGTGCTTAGTATAGAGTAAGGCAATGGCAGGTGGGACAAAACCTTCAGTGCAGCTGCACCAAAACCAAGAAACGTAAGATTCTAGCAAGAGAAGAGTTGGAAAGAATGGAAGGAAGAAATGAATCTAGTACATGTAATATGCAACAATAGGAGACAATTATGTCTCTGTGTGCCTTTCATTGGACAAAAACTAAACTTTCATGCCTTAACGAAATGAGCTCTACATGCAAGTGCGTTTTCTGAAAGCCAATGATGACCAATTGAACAATAAGTCAATAAGTATAGGCGGATAGCAATATCATCAAGTAGGGAGAAATAAACAAGCAAAAGAAGGCTATAGACTTTTCATTGTCCCAGCAGAAACACTAACCTTGAGATTTATGGATGAGTTAATACTCAAAATGGTTCATTGACTATACTATAAATCTATAATTCTCAAATTGGTTTTCAACTATCAACTTACTCAACATGATCACTCGACTCTACAGAATTTACTCAGTTTAGTCCTCTTTAACTGGCATTGAAGGACTAAATCGAGTAAATGTTGCATAGTTGAAAGATTATTTTCACTAAATTGATAGTCACAAAAAACAAGGGAGTGAGGAAGAAATTCTGACAAGTGGCAACAATTGCTCAACTATAAAGATGATGAAAAGCATGGGAGTCGGCAAAACATATAGAGGTTTGTTTCTAACCACTGGAGCCTTGATAGTATAGACCTGGGCCTTCAATGAACAAGAAGCGGCGAAGAACATCATTTCGATCAACACCACACAGACTCATGTATGGTTCAGCAGCTTTTGACTGAAGGCAACAGAACTTAATTTTTCTATCCTTGTCTGCCCGAATCACCCACTTCACACCTACAGAGATAAAGCCAATCAATCCATCAACATGGATCCTTTTTCTCTTTGGTAAAAAGTAAAAACATATAATGGTCTAACCTTACATCATTAGAGACTAGTGAATGCAGGGTGCAAATTTCAATTCAATTGCATAACAGGGGTCAATTGATGGCACCCACACTTTCGAGTTTCGACACATAAATTGAATAATTAGCAACAAAATGCTTTTCTACGGATTTGTTCGATCCTCTAAATATATCTCATCCATGACTTTTCATATCTTTTAATGCATTGTTGTGGTATATATATTTTACAGCTTCAATAATGAATGCTGACTACCAATGAAATCCATTGTATTTACAAACTACTTCTCAAAGCATCTTTAAATTTCCAGATAAATTTTTCCAGTTTGCCAAGCACGCTTGATCAAAGGAAATCAAGTGAGCAACAAAGTTAAAACTCTTAAACTGTATTTGAATATAAACATAACAAACAGTATCAGCAGATCATGATAAGAAATTACTTATCTATCACACCAACAAAATAGAAATTCAGTTGGATACAACAGTTCTCCCTACATTCATGATTCATATACATTACAGAATACAAAAATTCGATAGATAAGAGCGAGAAATTTTAGTATCCAAAAATATATGATTGTGTGTGTACCTTTGTGACAGAGATGGCAAACGCCATCATAAACGACGACGCCGGGTTGAAGCAGAGTCGGAATCGTATCAGGCTTGGAAACAGCGGCGTCTTCGTCGTCGTCGATCAGAAGATCCTCTTCGGTGAAGCCGGCAGCGGCGCTGGAAGCCGCGGCCGCGGCATTGGACGCCGGTGGAGACGTCGACGACGACTTCGTGGAGAAGCTACGGTAAACCGGCGGCGTAGAAACGGAGCTCAAGCTCCCTCTCAGCGATGTCAATGTCCGCAAACCTCTTCTCAGCATCATTACGGTCTGTCTCGAAGTTTACCCGTCTTCGTTCCATTTTGAGAAGAATTTTCAGTTTATTTATTTATATTTTCAAAAGGAATAAGGTTCAAATTGACCACTGAACATAACCTGAAAATGCTGCAATTAGGCCACTGAACGAACAAAAAGTGCAATTAGGCCACTGAACACTTCAAAAACGTGCAATGAAGCCACTGAACTCTCCAAACGTATGCAATTTCACCGGATAGCAGGTTACCATCAATTTTAGCAGGTTACCTGCTTACGTGGCAGCTGAATTGGCATTTTTAATAATTTTTAATAATTAATTTTAATAATAAATTTTATAAAAAAATTAAATAAAAAATAAAATAAAGTCGTTTTTATTTTTTAAATTTTTTTAAATAAAAATTTATTATTAAAATTTATTAAAAATGCCAACTCAGCTGCCACGTAAGCAGATAACCTGCTAAAATTGAGGGTAACCTGCTATCAGGTGAAATTGCACATTTTTAGAGTGCTCAGTGGCCTAATTGCACTTTTTTTTCGTTCAGTGGCCTAATTACATTTTCAGGTTACGTTCAGTGGCCAATTTGAACATTATTCCTTTTCAAAATAAAAAAGGAAATGGTTTTTTTAGGGAAAATTTTCAAGTGCATTTTGCATGAAATCTGTTTTATGAAATCAGTTATGTTATTCTAATCAGGTCGGTTTCTATCATTTTATAGGTACGGGACATAACAAAGGATAGATTCATATGAGAGTTAATATATATTTTATTTATATTTAAAATTTAAATTAAATAAGAAAAAAAATATTAATATCAATTATCTTAAATATGATTAACAACTTTTTAATAATTTTAGATACACAATAATAATCATGAAAACAATTTTATGTACTTTTTTAAATACAAAATAATAATCAATCACATTAGTATCTCCATAAATAAATAATTCATGACTCTAACTGACAAAAGATTTTCATGTCGACAAAAGGTCATGCGAGAGGTCAAAAGAGGGTAAATTAACTTAGATTATTATGAAACTTTGTAATTATTAAGTCAATTGTCAATTTTACCTTTTTATTTTTTACAGAGTATTTTTTATTTTTTAAATTTAAGTGATTCGGTGCAGGACTAATCCTAAGCCCACAAGACTCAATTCCTACTACAGAGGTAAATTGCAAGTCACACCTACTACAGAGGTAAATTGCAAGTCGTACAATCAACTCACTGAATAGATGCTAAGGATTCGAACCCCACACTACCGTCTCCGGTCATAACTTTTTTCCCAAATCCTTTTTATATCATTCAAGTTGAAGTCATTTTATTAAATTTTTTTTTTATTATAAATTTATGACTTTTAAAATATTTAATACTAGTATATAAGAATGAAAGGACAGGATCTCAAAAAAAAAAAAAAAAAAATTAATAACCTAAATGGTCCCTCGACTATGCCGTAATTACTAATTTAGTTATCGACTACTATTCTTACCCAATTAAGTCCTCAACTATGTAATCTTTATTCAATTTAGTCCTATGTTAACTTGTTTGTTTGTTGATGGTTAACAAAGGACTAAATTGGACAAAGATTATATAGTTGAGGGCTTAATTGGGTAAGAATAATAATCGATGATTGAATTGGTAATTACAACATAGTTGAGGTACCATTTTGGTTATTAACTCAAAAAGAATGAAAGGAGAGGTTTCACTTTGTGTAATTACTTTCTTAATCATCCATGTTAAATTGCATTAATACCGTCACATATAAATGAGACGAAAAGAACAAAAAAGCATTACATATTCATTTTAATCTTATTTTATATTCCATATTCAGTCTAAGTCATACTCGGACGAAAGTTTAGCCCAGAACTCTTATTTATATCATGATGAGACATTGTAAGGAGTTATGTTTTGTGTGTGCGTGTGTGTGTATAGAAATGATAACACGAAACTCAACTACAAGTAGAAATGAACTTTCTGAGACAACAATGAAAGATAAGTGAAATGCATAATTCCGCAATAGAAAATGGACAGACAAAAATGGCTTCCACCAGCACAAGTTGCAGAGAGTTTCTGGAAAACCAAGAAGATCTTCATATCTAAGTGAGAATGAAAGGCCAAAAACTTGTGCATTTTGTTGTTGATGCCGGTGAGGCGCCACGTTTAAATAGCCAATGTACAGATGAAATCCCGAGGGCATAAAGAAAACTGGGGAAGAGCTTTCGTGAAGGCAAACCAAGAGTCATGATGGTGCAAAGCGTAGGATGACTGCTGTATTTGTGCAACGGGCTCGACCTCATCTCCTATCCTACGCTAGCTCTTCTTGAATTTGGCCATCTGCATAAACCGAGAAGAATTGCACATTGATGAATGAAATGCTCTAGGGTCTAGGCTATAACTACTCTTGTTCTTAGAGATGACAATATGAACTAGCTCCACGTGGGCGGGCTCACATGCTACGACACTTGGGCTGCGGCACGGCATTGCCCGACCCCATCCCACGAATGAAATATGGGGACGGCCCACGTGCTATAATACTCGGGCTCGCATGGCATGGCATGGCATGGCCCCGCCCCATATATGGGACTGTGTTGGGCCACCTTCCATGTAATCGCCTAAGCCGGGTTGGCCCATTTGACACAACTATTTTTTTTTTTTGGGTCAGACCACGAGGTGTCATGAGCAGGCCTTAACTGTAGGAGGGGCCTTTAAGCCCATACCATACTCAGACTAATCCCGTTCGC